GTTGTATGATTTTACACTTTCAAAAATTGTTTGCCACAAATATTACATTGCTGCAAAGTTCCTCGCGTGGATCGCGTGGTCAGGCTCGCTGACTTGGTTGATGCACGTCATCGTATCCCAATTGCGTGGATCGATGCTCATGATGTCAATCACTGGATTTTCTGGTCCAGACTCGATTATTTACAAATGATTATTCTCTGGAAGAAAATAGTTCCTACTCGGTTCGAATCCCGGTTCGCCCAGATTATGTTTCTAGGTTTGTCAGCACCATACCCGTGCACGTGGGTTTCACCGAAGTGGTAAACGTCTGAAACCTGCATCACTTCGGGCTTTCCTCCCACATTCAGCTGACACGCCGCGATATAACTGGAATACTGCTAAAAGCGGCGTTAAACCACACTCACTCACTCACTCACAAATGGTTGCAATACAGAACAAGTTGTGTAGCCTCCTACCCAGACTTGACGTGGCAACAGTCACTCCTACGTTGAAGTGAAGTACATATACAACAACGCCTAGCCAAAGCGTTGATGACTGTAAACGTTATTTTATTCAACCATGCACAAACATATGCATTGACAAACATGTTTGTAATTAAAAACAAGCTGTGTAACCTCCTACCCAGACTTGACAAATCTTGCGACATGACACAAGTCAGTCGCACAATGAAATAAAGTTATATATATAGCTAGACCTAGCCCTAGAGTTGGTAATAGTTAGCTTTCAATTAAAGGAGCTTCAGGTCTTACGTATTAATGAAAACTTGATTTGCTATTTCAATTCCTAGATTTCTTAATGCTATCCGTCTCACTCATGCACTACGTGCAAGACATTAAGCGATTTTGTTTGCAAAGCAATAAACTACCGGGCAAAAGAAAGTTTTCACTTTAAAAATAGTTGTATAAAAAGCAAAAAAACTGGTACAGGTTTGAACCCCCGCAGAAAACATTCGCCCAAATGCAACATGACCACAACCACAACGCAGATTTTCCAACGCAGGTTTCCAAATCATGCATTGTTGAAAACGTGTAAAACGTGATTTTGAGACATTGGTCCAAATGCACGTGCGTGATTGTGGCATAAATACCGACGTTGGACAGAGCAGGCATTCAGTAAGCAAAATACCACCAAGAATATGCCCAGACTTACACAAGTGCAACGAGACAGAGCGATCGGTATGGCCAATATGGGGGCTACTCAACGTCAGAAAGCCAGAACCTTCAACTGCTCCCAGACCACCATCAGCAAGTTGATAATCGGCTACCAACAGACAGGACAGACTCAAGACCGGCCAAGATCGGGAAGACCGAGAGTGTCAACACCGACCGAAGACCGCTACATCCGTCAGATTCACCTCCGAAACAGATGTGTGACGGCGACGTCAACGGCGGCAACAGCACTAGGGCATGCCATCAGCAGACGAACAGTCCTTCAACGACTTCGTACGGCTGGTATACGAGCCTACCGACCCTTCCGTGGAATGGCCTTGACCCGTCTACACCGTCAACGCAGACTGCAATGGGCACGAACTGTACGTCGGTGGCAGCGACGTAACTGGGCGAGAGTGCTCTTTACAGATGAAAGTCTGTTCTGTCTGTTCAGGAACGATGGCAGAGTTCGAGTTTTTCGACGAAGGGGAGAGCGACTGGCGCCAAACAGCATTAGAGAAGTTCACCCGTTTGGTGGTGGGGGCGTCATGGTATGGGGTGGCATTTGTGGCCAGATTACAACACGGCTGGTTATCATCCGAGGAAACCTGAATGCTCAGCGATACAGGGATGAAGTGTTGAGACCTGTTGTGGCGCCCTTTATTCAACATCAGCCAAGAGGATTAATTTTGCAACAAGACAACGCAAGGCCTCACGCCGCCCGAATTGTTCAAGACTACCTGAACAACGTTAACGTCAACGTATTGCCCTGGCCACCTTGTTCTCCAGACATGAACCCCATTGAACATCTCTGGAAACATGTACCGCCTCCAGCGAACCGACAGGAACTTGAACAGACTCTATTGAACTTATTGAACAGGATTCCTGTTGACGTTATCCGCCGACTGACGACGTCAATGAGGACCGGAGGCGTGTGTTGGCGTGCATGGGTGCCTAGGGTGGTCACACTCGCTATTGATGACGTGTTACCTGACTACTGTGTCATTAATGGACTCTTCATGCACTTTTTCAATGAACTCTGATTTGTGTAATTTTTAATTTGGACCCCTTGACTCTTTCTTTGTGAATTGCGGAGAATGCAATATCGGCATTACGATGAATTTTCATTCTAATTCATGGAAAACGATTCCTGTTTATAAATTAATCATCATAAATCTCACATATGCCTTTGTTTTTGGTGTTTGGTCAAGTGAAGTCGGTGAAATTTTCTTTTGCCCGGTAGTTTATATTCATCAAAAGCGATGTCAATTGTTTTCCGTTTGTATGAGTGAAAGCTATTTATTACTATAGCGTTTAACAGGTGTTGACGATCATCAACAGAACATGGCACATAATCACAGGTCACAAGCTATAGAAATCATTCTTGACACGTACATGTACCGAATGGATATGTCGGTGTGGCACCCAACGTTTCCAATGAAAGTATGTATTATACTACTAAGAATGGAGCATGGAAATCTCCTGAGTTATCGTCTGCCCATAATCAGCCATGCATGACCGAAGAAGGGTCACAGAAATTGACAACTCGTGGTGATATGAAAAGTGAAATAGACTACGCCCTGTGATTTTCTATGCAAGGTGGCTCCGTAGAGAGTCCGTCAGAGGACAAGTGGATCCATGTGTAACTGCACATGGTGTTTTTTTGTTTGTTTGTGTGTGTGTGTGTTTGTGTGCGTTCGTGCGTACATTGTAAGCCTTAAATTACCGTACAAATGCGGCAACGACGTGTACAATTATGGTGGTATAATGCTGTTTATGATTCTCACGATACAATTTGCCTTTCAGTCCAATATTCACGGTGATCTTCCGTTACCTTGGTTTGAGAACTTGGAAACGGTAATTACCCGTGTCATAGATGCATTATGGGATAGCAGTTGACGAACGCCATTTTTCAAAGGGTAAATGGAAGGTCGCCACACAAAGAAAATCAGTGAAAATCTGAGCCATCCGCAAGTATGAGTCATGTAGACTATGTGTAGTGCAGGTAGCATTTCAGTGCCAATAATCACATTTTCACTACTCATAAACTGTAATAAAGTGTTTCTGCCGAGACGGAAATTTGTTTATGACCTTAAGTCATTTCAAAGAGCTCCTGGGTATAGACGTTAGGAACATTGGGAAATAACTACACAGCTTAAGCGACACGACTGACTCGAGTCTTCAAATACATGATTGACTACTTCCTTGTTATTGATTTAAGTCTAATAATGTAACATTTGCACATTTAACATTTTAACATTCCCAAAACCTTTTTATATGTTAATTTGGGTTAAGTAATTTAAACAAAATTGGAATAATGTTAATGTTAAGTCCTGCATACAATAATTATACATACTTATAATATATTTATTAATTATAATTTATTATATAATATATATATGCTGTAAACCCTTACCTGCTACAGTAGCTGTAGATACGGTCAGTGTTCACTGCAGTCTCCTGTTACAGTAGCTGTATATACGTTCAGTGTTCGCTACAGTCTCCTGCTACAGTAGCTGTAGATACGTTCAGTGTTCACTACGTATACAGTCTTCTGCTACAGAAGCTGTAGATACGGTCAGTGTTCACTACAGTCCCCTGCTACGGTAGCTGTAGATACTGACGTTTGAAGATGAATTGTCAAGTGTCAATGGACCCGATGCGACGTATATCATATCCCTATAGATTAATGTGTGTTACAAACACAGGTTCCAAAGCAATTCCGGATATTACGACAAGGAAAACCAATGACTGAAAGCATGAGTATATAGCAGAAATACGTGCGTGGAATCAAACCCGGGACTTATATCTGATGAAACCACGCATGTTAACACGAGTCGTGTATCGTATCGCAACTTTATGATCGATATCCTTATCGAACAGACCTTCTTATAAACTTGCTGTCTGGTTAATACATGCGTGCAATTGTGATAATTCGATGTACTATAGATCATGCGCAGCACTCAGTGTTGTGTGCAAGGTGAGCTAAGAATAAACAAAAACATCAAAGAGAACATTGGCTTTATTTATTCAAACGACTTGTTCAAAACGAAGAAATATAAAATTTGAGAATCCATCAACATTGAAACATCACGTATGTCAGATCATTATACATACACAAACATACATTATTTAATTTGCAACAACTAAAACGTAGCGATTAATGTAGGTCTATAACAGTATTTAAGTCCGAAACTTTCTCTTTCACATGCAGGCAAGGACAGCACAAACATACAAATTGCATCGTGATATTGCTGTCGTTATTATAAGGCTTTTTTGAGGGTAGAAATATAATGTAAAGAATATGATTGTAGATTCTAATATGCATGGGATGTATAGTAAGCTATACGGCAGACTTTACTATAGGACAAAGTGTGACGTGATGATTGGGTACCAGCCCTCTAGTCGTACTTGGCGCTCCCAGCAGTTCCCGACCCTGCCCTAGAACCTGAAACAGAGGGAGTTATCAAGTAGTTGTTTTGTTTGTTGCTTGTTTAACGCCGCACTCAGCAATATTCCAGCTATATGGCGGCGGTCTGTAAACAATCGAGTCTGGACCAGACAATCCAGTGGTTGACATCATGAGCATCGATCCACGAATTTGGGAGTTATCAAGTGGGAACGAGATTATGAAATAGAATTAATAGTTTACACAAACTTTCTCCTCGGAATCAGTTGAAGTAAACATATAACGTAATAATAATATTCTAATTCATCAGTAATCCTCAGTGTAATCTTTCTCACAGTTTAAAATAATACAAAGAGCAAATGAACAATTGAGTGGTCTAACAAGCAACTTATATCTCACAGAAACCTTACAACGCCAGTTGTGAAAAAAGCTTAAGTACTTACCACCTGGTCCGAAAAGCGTGGCATAGCAGGGGTTCTGACAATATAATTTGTCAGCATGCTGAAAGGGAAAGAAGCGCATTTCAAAGAATGAAGCCATCTTTTCTGTGAACAAAATGCCTATGAGACATTCTTGTGAGAGAAGCGGTTCGATTCGAAAGCTAAAAATCAGTGAAATTATACCAGAGATATAATCAAACGACACACAATCGTTGTTGTTACCGTTATTAAAGTTTCAATTATTCTGCAAAACTCTGTTAAAATATTTTGTTTAAAATAATTAGACGAACATTTTTTTCTCAGCGAAGGAATATGCCTTGAAGGAGTTAACATGTTGTTTATTTTCGTTCACATTAACTTCAAGGGGCAATGGAAAACATGTATCACTACGCACGTATGATTTCGACAAGTTTCTGATGTTATTTGTAATGTATTTTTGTTCTTCAAAGGAAAACAATAATGTGAAACTGATAAATAGAAATCATCACAGGTGTTTTTTGAATATGGGAAATATCTACCGCGTCCCGTTAATCGGTATTTGCCTCGCCAAAGCCACGGCGAATACCGATTAACTAATTAACTAATATAAGACTCGATTGATATTTCCCATATTAAAAAACACTCCATCGTGATGAGTGCTCTTTATATACAACAAATGGCCGTGACCAAAAAATAAGTTCGATATGTCCGTTAGTTCGTTATAAACGTAGTTTACTATATTTGAAAACGGTCGTATTCCTTGGTTTGTCTATATCCGTACTCAAGTGTTTAATCACAGTGACACATTTCTACTGCCTCCGTCACTTTGGACGAACCTCCAACATTTAGCTCACGCGCTTTTAAAATACTCGAATTAACTCAAACACTATTCACCTCTCACTAGTACTGACTCATAAATAATAACCACCAATCAGACAGATAATGTAATTCAATGTGGTCCTTCAATATTCCACGGAATAGATCAGACAATCCAGTGATTGATATCAAGAGCATCGTTCCTCGCAATTGGGATACGATCACATGCATCAACCAAGTCAGCGAGTCTTACCACCCGATCCCGTTAGTCGCCTCTTGTGACAAGCATAGACGCCATTTGCGGCAAGCAGGGGTTGCTGAAGACCTAATATTCCCCGGGTCTTCGCGGGTAGAAGGTTTAACGGTATATTTGTCACATGCACATTATTTACCTCGCATGCACTTCCGGCAGCTATGGATTTATTGCATCGAGCACATTTGTGGCACGACTTGTGGTAGTCCTTCCCGTTGGATACCAACTTCTCGGCTGAAAATAGTAAATATGTCTGTCAGTACAACAAAATTAAGTGATCATATAATAATATATTCATGAAAGGATGTTTCCTATTCAAAGGTGAAAAAGGTATGGTTCTGGTCCAGCTGTATACCTGCAACGCTACGCTCCAGTATGTATTTTATTATCTTCCCGAGGCAAGGGAGCTAGCGGACTTTAAAAGTCCAGTTTCCATCCTTGCCGAACAAGGGAATTCCTGGGCTCGATCGTAGCGCCACCAGTGGTTTTTACGAGTTATGTTCTCCTATGGACCAATCAGATTCCACTTCTCGTATCACTTGCATTTGTTTCAAGCAAAATGGCGGCGCCCAGTCAAGACGATCTGATCGATAATCAAGATCTATATTGTGATAAAACTGGCCTTACATCGTAAAGTGCATCAACTCTCGCGAGCACCTTGATAAAAAACATGAAAAGACTTGGAAAGTATATGTTGACAACGAGTTGCGGTGCACATGCTTTGCAAATTTCGATTTCGGTGCGCGATTTTGATTAGACTATGCATAGACTCGTTAGTCCAGCCAAAATGTAACTCCACAATACCGGCCTAGTTCGCCAAGGGTGGAAACTGGACTTTTAAAGTCAGTTAACTCCCTTGCCTCCGGAAGATGGTATTTTATGGAACTCCGAACTTGCAACAAGGAAGGCAATGTTGTGAAATAAGAATATATAAAGTGCAATACATAAATTCATTAATGTTGATTGAGTGTGAGTGATGATGGTTTTACATCACTTTTAGCAATATTCCAGCAATAACGCGGCGGGGGACACCAGAAACGAACCACATTGAACCCATGTCGGGAATCGAGCCCGGGTCTTCGGCGTGACGAGCGAACGCTTTAACCAGTAGTCTACCCGATCGCCCCATTAACGTTGAATATGTATTTGAGTGATGAAATAATTTTTTAAGTGACTATTTAGTTATAAATCGGCCAATACTGTCTGCTGCATTTTCAATGTCCTGTTGGAGACTGAAAGTCATAATGCAGTAAGGCGACACGAGTTACCCCCCTTTACTTGCAACTGTGCTGAACACTGATTCTCTTTAACGAAAAAAAACCATATTCCCTATAACACCCGCAATTATAAATATGACTGTTATGGCAGCCATATTGAAGTTATTTTTTTATTTCATATGCAGCAAGTACATGTTTGGAGATAAGGGTTGAGGCATATCTTTACTTCTGACCTAGTGACGGCATTTGACCTCTGAGATATCTTGGGACCTAACTCGGGTCCATTCAGTTAAAATAACTGCATTTTAACTGCTGTGAGCTGTAAATGTATCGAAGTTTTCAACGACTGATAATTCAATATATATATACTGGCAAGATCATCGTCTCAATTCTCAATTCTCTTACAATATTTTCAGCGAAAACTAAAAGAGTTAATGATTGAGTTTTACACGGCTCCATTAATACTCTAGTTATATCATCCATCCTAATCATGCGGGTTTTCGAACCCCTACCCGGCGACGAACCAACGCTTAAATAACCACTTCTATTAAGCTACCAATCAGTCTGCAAGGAAGGTTGCAGTCAGCGTAGCATGTTTAAACTAACCATTGTTTAAATATCCATCTTTGGAGTGTGTGTGGCTTTACCTGCATCGTCACATTGTAATTAGTATGGTATGTGTTTTCATGCACCGAGCTTCACCGAGCACGGCTTTTCGTCGGTTATTTTCAACCACCAGCGGTTATCTCCCCTATGAGGCGTAACACTAAGCCATAGTAAGGTAACACACCCTGGTTCACCAGGGATATTCGACATGTTCAGGTTGGGTTCTCCAGGGATCACGTGACCTGTGTGTACACAGTTGGCGGGTATTTACACAACCTAAGAGAAACATTTGTCTGTGTTGAGGAGAACACAATATTGACCCGTCCATTTTCTTTATACTGCTGTAGTTCTAGCTTTAGGTTCATTAGACTTTCTTCAAGAATTCAATGCATATATCTCACAAGTCCGTTCAACTCTAAACACCACAACGACGCACTTGACTGAACATACTGACTTTTACAATTACAGCTATTTTGAATGATCATACTACACGTAAATCCGGGGTGTCCCCCCATTAGTTAGACAGCCAGTTGTTAGACACCTTAAAATAACAACTTTTCTGGTTGAGTGCAATGCTGTTACCTTGATTGATAATGGAATGACCGGTAACCTCCCAAAACCCCTACATCCCATTTCCCCTACAGCTTAAGACAACAAAGTTCACGGTCCATGGCACTGCTAATCCCTAGTCTGTTACCTATTTCATACAATGGAACAACCCAAGAAACCCGAATAGATTGAGATAAATATTTAATTACGATTACGATATTATTCAAAATTCATAATACATTATAATAAAATGTTCATTTTTCACAATTCATAATACATTATGATAAAATGTTCATTTTCAAAAGTCATAATACATCATAACAAAATGTTCATTTTTCATCTCAACTGTAAATCGTCTCATCTCAGTTTCTCAGTGCAACAAGCGTATAGTTGACAAAGTCATCTATATCCCCCGCCCATTTTAACACGTTATGGTCCCAAACCAGGTAACTGACCCAACATTTCTCTTAGGCCATGTCAAAATAGCTGCAATGGAAATTCATGCAAAGTTTCGTAGAGAAATATTTAACGGTTTCTGAGTTATGCTCCGGAAACGATTTCGGCACGCACGCACTCACTCACGCACGCACGCACGCACGGAACCCATTTCTACATCCCCCGCCAACTTCGTTGGGGCGGGGGATAAAATTGTTTCTTCCTATTGTTATTTTTGTAATTTCTAAAAATTGTCTTCTCATCAAACAGGCATCTTTCATTACACTTACATTAATTCTTTTTTTTTAAACCTTCCTTTAAGTCCCCTTATCCCCTAAAGCTCTACCCCTTTCATTTCTACTACCTCTACTCCAGACCTTAAATCTCTCCTTTAGGTGAGTTCATAATGCCAGACAGGTAAATGCCGCGTGTTGTTTTAACTAATTGTAGGGGAACTGGGTTGTAGGGGAAATGGGATGTAGGGGTTTTGGGAGATAACCGAATGACCCATAGCTAAACATCTAGATACAACAAAACAAAAAGACGTGTTAAGTCAGATGTACTTATTTTATAAACGTTCATCTCAGAGTTGAACACTGGATTTGAGAAGAAAACACAAACAATATCAAAAGGTAACAATGATGAAAACAGTCCCAGAAACACGACAAACTGAAGGTTCAAAAACAACTATGATACCCGTATCTAATACACCCCCATCGTATAACCATTTCTTGTTTGTTTCTTTTTTTGCCACCATCAAACATGGGTGTATACTTTTATTGCGCGACAGTTTAGGTAGTTGGGCGGTTGTTGGGCGGGTGGCATATGTGTATCGTACACTCATTGATCATTGTCCTATTAACCCACATGCAACTGTTACTAGGACCGGGTAGACTCACTGTGCATTTGCACCAGATACAATGTGAGGGAGCGTGGAATCACCTTGCGACAGTCGCGAGACTGCCTGTCGACATTTCAATCGAACGTCTAATACCCCGTTGACATGCGCCTCTATACATATGTGTGTATATGTGCATACGTGTGTAGAAATACATACGTGAGTATACTTGTTATGTGAACCAGTTTACTCGTGTATGTATATTTACACCAGGAGCAAATTTGCATGTCTGGAGCAGGTGCAAATGTAAATTTGCACTGTGTGTATATGTTGCAATGTCAACGTTTATGTCCTTTTGCCATCACCAAACACATCGTCAACAGTCGCCAAGTGTTATGCGTATACACTGAGTTGAGCGGACGGTATTTCCTTTTGGTTTCAAGGTGTCAAAACTTTGTGTACAAACTAAATCAAACACATGTTGCTTCACGCGTAAATTTTCTTCTCATCCAAGTCGTAAACAGACTGACGAAAATGTGTGCCTTACACAATTTACATACTTTATTTACACACTTAAGTTGATTTTCATGTGAACGCATACTATTAGTCAATTTACATATTCACACGTATGTATAGTAACACATGAGCAAAATTACTTACGTTAGTAAATGTTGTGCATGTGAACGGTATATGTAGGTGTACGGGGCGGTCGGGTAGCCTAGTGGTTAAAGCGTTGGCTCGTCACGCCGAAGACCCGGGTTCGATTCCCGACATGGGTACAATGTGTGAAGCCCATTTCTGGTGTCCCCCGCCGTGATATTGCTGGAATATTGCTAAAAGCGGCGTAAAACCATACTCACTCACTCACTCGATAGGTGTACAGATTTCATGGCAATAATTACCCATCCCCTGCACACACGAAGAGATTTATTGACAATAAATATTTGATCACATAAAATTATAACACCACGAACATAAACATAAACAAGCAAACAAAATAAAACTTATATAATACCGACTTAAACTGCCGGGCAAAAGAAAGTATATACCCATATTTGATGGTGGCTAAAAACTCTTATGGTCTGTGGCCATGAGCGTTCACTGTACGTCCCAGCGTGTGGACATGCCAAGACATGAAGCTACTCTGTATCGGAGTGAGTGAGTGAGTGAGTTGGGTTTAACGCCGCTTTTAACAGTATTCCAGTTATATCACGGCGTGTCAGCTTAATGTGGGAGGAAAGCCCGAAGTGATGCAGGTCTCAGACGTTTACCACTTCGGTGAAACCCACGAGCACGGGTATGGTGCTGACAAACCTAGAAACATAATCGGGGCGAACCGGGATTCGAACCCACAATCATAGGTTTCTGGCGTGCCCAAGAGACGCAACTCTGCACAGCGAATCGCGGCGCCTTAGACGACTGGGCCACCCGTGCCCCCTCTCTGTATCGGATGGTGGCAGAGAGGAGACCTCGCTTTCTCGCCTTCAATTATGGTCGTGTGAAAGCGATGTCCCCTCTCGGCCACCATAGTATTGTCATGTTTTATGCCAGCCCTGTGGTGTGCTTAGCCGATTGATTTGTAGACGCAG